TGTCCCCGTCCACGGCCGTGGGAGGGGGCAGCTGTGAGCGTGGGGGAGCCCAGACCCACGGCCAGGGCTGCAAAAAGGTGAGCCCGGCCAAATCCAGGACTGAGCCTCGCTGCCCAAGGAGGAGCGTCCCCTCAGGGCTGGCACGCAGCGGGGCATGGTCATCCCCGGGGCACTCGAGGCTGTGGGCATGGTCTGCGGCTGGGGCCATCCCCCTCCCAGCCCCATCACCCTTTTGGGTGGGTGACCTGCACCGGCTGCTGCACATGGCTTAAAATCATCTCTGTTAGAGAACATGGCCCTTCCCCTTATCTCCAAGGGGTAAATAAAGGTGGAAAATCCCCTTAGCCCTTCTCAAAGGCTGCAGGTGCTTCCCCACTTGCTCTTGAGCAACTCCTCATCAGGGTGGGAACAGCTTCTTTATTATGTCGCCCCAACTTTCCTGTTCACGGAGCTGTTGAGCATCATTTGCACCATTTGAGGGGACCCCCTTGCTCTAGCAAGTTACAGTAGCAGCCTACCCGCTCCGGGTGTTATTGTCTGGCCTTGCCAGTTTTGGTGGCAAGTCGTATGGCAAAACTGGCAACGCTGGGCAGGAAGAGAGCTCAGGGCAGGCTGCAGCCAGCTCCCAGGGCAGGGAGAGCCTCTGGGTGCAGCAGATGCACAGAGAGATGGGGAATCATACCCTGAGAGACCATTCTACAGCAACAAAGGACTGTGGAAATCAGCAGAATCTACCAGGCATTTTAAATATATATAATTTATTGATGAATTATATAACCATGAGCCCCATCCAGCAAGTGGTGGAAAAGCTTTGAGCAAAGCCGTGGTTTTACAGAGGAAAGCAGTGAGTGAGCTGGGATGTTCAGGGCAGGTAGGAGGGCTGGGGGGGGGGCCCAGACCCACTGAGACCGATCACGGGGCTGCATTATTGCCAGGGGCACCTCTCGTGCCCGTGCAAACCCTCTCTGGCTCCTGGTGAATGGATGATGCTTTGGAGAGGGATGCGGGAGCACCAGGTCCATCTTTTGCATCACTCCCTACATGGTCCTGGGCAAGGAACGTATCTGACGCAGGTCGCTGCCTTGCTGCCTGCTGCCAGCCAGTTCCTCCTGGGTCCATCCCTCCTGGGACCATGCTCAACCTGGAAGCCTCAGGGAAGGAGCAGGCTGAGACGAACCCCTGCCTGCTGCTGCCCACACGGTGCTGCCATCCAGGGGCTCTGGACACTGGGCTTTAATAAGTTTTAATAGAAATATGACAGAAGTCTTAAGAGAACCCTGGGGATGATTGAAAATCCCAACAGTGCCGATGCTCAGTGTGGCCGGACACTGGTGCTGCAGCGTCCCGCCGAGAGCTTGTAGCTACCGGCAATAGCTATTGTGGGCAAAAGGAGCATCGCGACAGGCAGCGTGTCGTGGCATGGAGCGATGATGCTGCAGCTCCAGCCCTGCACCCTGGCTTCTGCTCCTGCAGAGCAACACCAGCCCTCGGCTGCCCCGGCACACAGCGGCCAGCACCATGGCTCCGGGCTAAACACAGCCATCAGGCACCCACCACCTCGGTGCTGCCACTGGCATCTTCCCTGCACGAAGCCTGGATCCATCCGTGTACTGCAGCCACGCAGTGCCGCAGAGCTGCTAATGCCTGGGCACCCCGCTCCTCCCTGGCACAGCCAGAGCCAACCCATGGGCACGCAGGATTCGGAGGTGGCAGGGGTCCGGTGATGCCCTGGTCTGCGTGTTGGTCGTGGGTTGGACGGCCAGTCCTCGGGGACACTTTCTGGGCAGAGATGTGTCCCTTTCCACAGGGACGAGCTGGCCTCAGTTGCAGCCACACTCCTCGATAATCATGTCCTCATGGTGACGGACGACGATTTCGCCCTTCTCGTAGTAGAGCATGGAGAGGGGACTCATCCTGACCGGGGAGCAGGCGGGGCATGGCACCTGGTTGGGCTTGTAGAGCTGCAGCAAACTCTGTGGGGAGAGATGGGAAGGGCAGAGGATCATCACCCTCTGCCACAGGCTGGTGGGTCTGGGGGTGCGTGGGGGGAGTGGAGGCAGCAACCCCCTCTTACCTGTATGTAGGCGTGGTTGGTGGGCTTGAAGGTCTCGTCCACGGGTGACGGACACTGCCCTTCGCACCGGTAGGCATTATACTTTTTGGGGTAGATGATCCAGCTGCCCCAGCCAGTCTGCTCGAAATCCACCATCATGTCCACCCTCCGACACAAGGACCTGCCCTCCTCGCCCGGGACGGCAGCGGCAGCATCGCTCGCTTTGATCCTTTGCTTCTCCTTCCTATTCCTGCGGTGCCGGCGGGTCCCCACGCCCTGGGAGCTGCTGTCACGCATGACATGCTTGGACGTCTCCGCTGTCCTGATGAGGCTGTGGTCTCCCGGAGACTTGTCCTTGGAGAAGACGAGCAGCAGGACTCTGTCCGTCACATCCTGGGGCAGGGCTGGTTCCCTGGGGCCAGCATCACTCGAGGTGGGCGAGTGCATCGCAGCGGTGGCCGGGGTGGCCGACCCACTCGCCTCCCACCACTCCCCTCCCGAGAGACCGCGGTGCCCAGGGGCCATGGCTTGGTGGAGCCAGGACCGGAGCAGGCTGGTGACCTCAAAGATTTTCCAGGAGGCTTGGGTGGAAGAGGGGCTGCCGGCCACGGTGCCCAGGAAGAGCTGGTGGGCCAAGGTCCCGCCGCCCCAGCACCTCTGCCGCCGG